CCTCAATGAATTTTCTAGTTAAATTGCCTTAATACTAAGCAAAACACACAAAAAATAGTGGTTGGTATTTTTCAATTTTTAATATTCTGTGTTATATAGCTGGGATCTACAATGTTTTGCACACAAAGAATGCACTGATACCAAATGTTTGTGAGATGAATAGAATTTGAAAGAATATATCCTTGTAACATACATTTGAGAAGAATATGTTTCTTGACAGCCATGTGAAGCACCACTAGGGGTTGCGATATTTAAATGAAGAAGGACATCTCCCTCCTGGATGAATTCCAGTTTGATGAGTGAGATGTATAAGTCACATGTATTAGTGCTATAGTCTAAACTTGTATAAAGTAGCATGGGAATACAGAAGAAGCATCTGCTGGTCTTAAAAGATGGTGTCATCTGTCATTGTTCGACTGTTCAGGTTGATCGTAAGAAAGTACTTGTTATTGGACATTTATGATGAATGTAAAATTTCATTTCACTGAGTAGCAATGGGTTTGCAAAGGAACAAGGACTGATAACGGTTCAGTCTTTAAAGAATTTTTTTCAAGATGAAATGAACATGTGAATTTGGAATTTTCTTTATTTTGGTTTTTAATTTTTGTATACTGGTGCGGTTGTGGTGGTCTAGGGGACTTGACATAGTACTTCACTCTGGAGACAGGCCATGGACATTCATAGCACCCTGCTCTTTGATTCTTATGCTCCCTAAGGAGAATTTCAGGATGAGCAGGAAATAAAGCAAGCATGTATATTCAAAGGTACAAGAGGGAAGTAAAGAGAATTGGCGCCAAGCTGGGATAAAGTAGGTTTACTTAAGGAGAAAAAAATACAAAACACACTTGGCAACACAGTGAGTTGGGGGTCTAATGGAGAGTGCCGACATTGTACTTCTTTCTCCACTTTTTTGCCTTCAAATTTCCTGCCTTATCTCTTCCTACCACAATTACCTGAAGTCTGAGGTTCTGACTGTATTCGTTAGGTTTCTTGGGTTGCCATGGTAACTGTAAACTGTCATTGGCTGTAGTGGGCATGGTTTTGATATGTTTTAAGTATTCTGAAATGATGGCAAAATGAGCTAATTCTCTCAGTGGTCCAGAGGACTAACCTGTGTTGTCTTTCCCCCTGGCAGTAGCAAAGGAACAAAGAGAGACCTGTAGGGTGTCATTAAACTCCAGTGAAGTTTCTTTATCACCATAAATTAAGACTGGTGCCTGGCTTGGTACCTCTCTGCAGGGCAATTTATTATTCTCACTGATATGAGGTGGTATCTCATTGTTGTCTTAATTTGGATTTCCTTGAAAAGAAATGACAATGGAGACTGTTTCATATACCTACTGGGCATCCATCTGCCTTCATCAATGGAGTGTGTGTTCATTTCCTCCCCATTATTTATGGGATTCTTGTATTTATTTCTCTTTTTATTTGCTTATTTTGTGGCCATGCCTGGTAGTTCTCAGTGATTTTTCCTTGTCCTGCACTCAGGGATCACTCTTGGTAGAACTTGGAAGCTGGGGATTGAACTCTGGTCAGCCATATGCAATTAGATTTATTAATGTTGATCTTTGTGAGTGCCTTGGCTTATGTCTTGTATATTAACACTTTATCTTATGTATTGTATGCAAATATTTGTGTCAGTTCAGTAGAGTGTCTTTAATTTTAGCCCACATATTTTTTTTCTTTAGAAGTTTTATTAATGACAGGTGAGACATGATGACTACCATAATGAGATCTAAGTATAGAATAAAATTTAATGTAATATTTTTTAGGTTCCACAGATAAAAAATATATGTAAATGAGAACAGACATTTTGCTATATTGTATTAAATGGTTTTAATTTTCTTATTTACATAGGTCAAAATCACAAATTGTTCTTTTATTTTTTCTCATCGTGATCTTTTCCAACCTTGTTTCATTCTTTCCTATGGGTTCCACCCTAGTTTTGTGCAATGCCCACCTTATTTTTTTGAGTTCCTGGAGTATCATGGAGCCTCACAGGGGCCTGTGTGCACTCCCCACTTCCCTCAGTTGAGAAACACTCTTCTAGATCGTTTTATAGACCTCAACAATTCCTAGTATGCATTAATAATCCATGGTAGAGTATTTTCTTATTGCTATCACTTTTAGTAATTACTTCTGAATTCTGGAGACATAGGTAATATAGGAAGAAAATTTTTTTAATTTTATAAATTTTATAAAATTTTATAAAATTTATAAATTCCTAATTCGGTCAAACTGGCAGGCTACCAAATGTAACATGCCCACACGGCAGAGTCTGGCAAACTCCCCGTGGTATACCCAATATGCCAAATACCAGTAACAATGATGGGTCTCATTCTCCTAACCCTGAAAGAGCCTTGAATATGGCAGTTTTTAAAATCTCAGGGCTAGGACGAAGGAGACGTTACTGGCACCTGCTCGAGGCAATCGACGAACAACAGGGTGGTCGTGATCGTGATCGTGATCAGGAGCCTCTGAATGTAGAGGTTGATATGGAAATTAGGTTGAAATGCATCTTTGTCATTGAATTTGTGTCCTCAAAATTGTTTAAATCACTCATTCAGGTTCAGCAAATTTGGAAATGTAGTGATTATGTTAAACATTCTGTGATTTCCCAAAATTGGAAATTTTCTGAGGGAGACAGGTACAAAAGCAGTTTTATTACAACTTTGCACATTAATAAAAACATATACATAACATACTGTGATGTATTGTATGTGAGAAATCAGGAAATAAAAGAGATTGGGTCTTGAAGATTATATTTCAAGGATAGGAAAACTTATGGCATCGTAGTAGTTCATAGCATCCATAAGAAGGCTGATTTCCTTCCCTTGGCATTTAATAAAGATTTTTTTAAAAATACGTAAACTAAAGAATCATCAAATATTGTTCAGAGACCAGATGCTAATTTTTCAGAGAACTTCTAGGTGAGTTAAGACTTGATGAAGATGTTTATCAAAATCGTGTTGTGTCCTTTAGGAAATAGTCTGGGTAGAGACTGAATCTGGACAAAGGTGGAAGTTAGAAACATGACATTTGCTCATCTCTACTCAAACACTGGCCAAGAAAATGGAACATTCAAGTTATTGTGATTTGTAAACCCATGAAGAGTAGATGGACATGCCAGTCTGACATTAGTGTGATGCCACTTAAGCATTGTTTCATAAAGCAAACTCCTCTTGCTTTTATTTCTTGTTCATTAGGCAACATTGTGAGTATAATTTGCCTTCCTGTCTCTATTGGTCTACAGGGAGAAACTGTACTGGTAATGCTGACATGAGTTTTCTGATCCATATGGCAGTTAGGGTTCTCATCGTAAACTAATGTAGTTAATTCAGCCACCTCTAGTTTGTACATTAGTCTCTTGTGAGTTTAATTTACTCTTCTGCTGAAACATGACTCTGCTTAAAATTCCAAGAAGAAAAGAAAATGCATTCCTAGTTCACAGAGCTGAGGTCCCAACTGGGATGAATGGACTGGGGTGAACTCATCAAGATAAATGTGACTCTGGTTGACCAGATCCATAGTATTTTTTATTATTTTAAAATTCAAACTAGGTGTGTGTGTGTGTGTGTGTGTGTGTGTGTGTGTGTGTGTGTGTGTGCTCTGTTTCCCCATCTGGTCAATCACTTTTATTTCCTAATCAGTCTCTGTTAACTTGTAAATATTGCTTTTCTCTTCTCCTTATGTCCTTTGCATAGTTAATTCAGAGCAGTGTTCCTTTTTGTATAGACACAGAAAGGCAGTTAATACTATGCTTTTGTAAATTAAGAGTTAATTGACTCCAAACAACATTCATTCCTGAGCATCTTTTTCTTCACTTAAGCCTCAGTTGCCCTTACCTCCTAGCTCCCCAAAAGCAGGGTCCCAAGGAACTGGATGGACCCAGGGCAAGGTGTGAGCTACCTTGGCATTGAAATGGGCCCTGGCCAATTACTTAACTATAATACTTAATATTATGGCGCTATTATGAACTATATATAGTTTATAACTAAATAAACTTAACTTATAAACTATATGAACTAAACTATAAGTTAAGAGCATGGTTATGGACAAATTTTGTTATGATCCAAAAGGTCACAGTCACTGTCACTGTCCTCCCATTATTCTCAAGCGGGGCCCAGTAACGTCGCCATTGTGACAACTGTTACTGTGTTTGGCATATTGAATATGCGGGCAAGCATATTGAATATACGGGCAAGATGGATGGCTAAATGGTCTAAGGCGCCAGACTCAAGCTCCGCTTCCCCAGCGCTGGGGGTTCTGGTCTCCGAATGGAGGCGTGGGTTCGAATCCCACTTCTGACACATGATCTCTTACTGTGTCCATACAAAATAACTAATATTATGAAGTAGTATTAAGATGTTAATTAAAGTATTAATTAACTTATTGGACTAAGGAAAGGAGAAAAACCCCTAGGTGGTATATGAGCTGGATCTTGTGGCAGCAGGCAATAGGAAAGGGCTTTGATATGTTGATTGTGGCACCTAATGTAGGTGTGGTTGCTACCCCCAATGCTGGGGAGTTGGTGAGGGACTAGGGAGAGACCAAGGCAGGGAGTTTGAGTGAGGAGAGATGAGCAAGGGAGATAGGAGGAAACTGAAATGAGGGGCTTAGTGAAATTGGAGCAGGCGCATTGGGAGAATGGAATGAATGGCAACTGATCCAAGCAGCCTGGCCCTCATTTCCTCCTTCGTCCTCCCATGGCACCAGCCACCCAGGGTGGGGAAGCAGCACAAGACCACCAAACACATGCAGCTTGAGAGAGAACTGTAGGATTCCTGGTCCTTTGCTGATTACACAAGACTTTTCAATACAAATTCCTTACCCACTGAACTATCTCTCTGGCCCCAAGAATTTTTTTAGAAAGCTTATTTCTATTTTAACAGAATCAGATCTGCTTTCTAATAAACTTCTTTGAATTGATTTTACAGATGTTACAGGTGTTTCTTGCCTCTCATTAATAAATTTCTGTTTCAATATTTTCAATGCCTTAGGAAAAACATCTAAGCAATGAAGAACAGAACTTAAGGAGGATGGAAGAGGCCAGATTGCAGCTCAAGGATCAACTTCTTTGCCTGGAGACAGAACAGGAGTCCATCCTTAGTGTGATAGGAAAAGAAATTGATGCAGTATGTAAAACCTTCTCCAGGGACTCCATGGAGAAACTGAAAGTAAATATGAGTTCTCATTGTGCTTTTCAGTTAATTTCATAATACTTAATTATAAAATTTTAATGCATGGTTGCAAACATAGTTACATTTTTAATCCCAGAGCATTTTATGAAACAAAAAAAAAATAACATCTTGCATTTTTTAGAATGAGGTACTGTATTGCAGTTACAATGTAAGTGTGCTTTTATTCCTTGAATTGTCCCTATCTTAGTCTGTTCAAGAAAATGGTTTACAATGAAAGTACCTGTTTTAACTAAAACAAATAATCCTTGCAATCCAGCGACCTGGAATTTTAATTATTTCATTTTCACAAGTAAGTCATTATTTTTCTATTGAGATAACATGAGTTTACATGACTCTCTGTGGTTTAGCTGCAAGATTTTATGTCTCCTTAATGTATATAATACCTTACTGCAACTGCACCAAGGTACCAGTATCTTCACACTATTATCCACTCATAACCCTCTCTCCAGTGTATTTTTTTCAGTATATTACTAGTAGTCGCATGACGTTCTCAAGGGTGGCACTGAAGAGTTTCAGTGAAATGATATCACCCTGCCGAGCCCCTCTCTTGACATCAATGATTACTTCTTTGTAGAATGGTGAGATCCTGGTAGTGAATTCGTAGTACAGCTCATGGAGGATCCTGATGTATTGAACACCCTGATTGGCTAGAGCTTCGATGACCGCTTCAGCCTCAACAGAATCAAAGGCCTTCTTTAAATCAATGAATGTTAGAGAGATCGGCATCTTGAACTCCTGAGAAATTTTAATGAGCTTGGTTATCATGTGTCTATGGTCAATTCTGCTGAATCCTTTGTGGAACTTGGCTTGCTTGCATGGTTGTCCTTCATCTAGTGTTCTGCCTATCCTATTCAGGATGACTCGAGTGAACATCTTGTAGACGATGGAGAACAGGCAGATGGAGAGATAGTTGCCAATGTCGTGGATGTTTCCCTTCATGTACAGTAGAACCATCCTGCTGGTTTTTCATTGGGCCAGATATTTATTATTATTAAAGATATTTATTATACTCTAAATAATAATTAAGTTCTGTGACACATGTGAAAAGCTAATTGAGGCTGGATACTAGGCCTCTTCTTCCAGTTTGTCTGGCAGTGACTATATAGAAAAAGTGATCAGGAGAATTCTTCACTGTCACTGTCACTGTCACTGTCCTCCCATTTGTCATTGATTTGTTAGAGCAGGCCCAGTAACGTCTCCATTGGAGACTTTGTTGTTACTGTGTTTGGCATATCGAATACATCACGGGTAGCTTGCCAGGCTCTGCTGTGCGGGCGAGATACTCTCGGTAGCTTGCCGGGCTCTCCAAGAGGGGCGGAGGACTCGAACTCGGGTCGGCCATGTTGGCTGCATGCAAGGTAAACACCCTACCGCTGTGCTATCGCTCAGCAATATTAAAGGAAATTAAAAATGCTACTCCGAGGAACATACAACTGGAAAAGCCAAGAACCTTTATTGCTGATATGGTGAAAGTTTTAGTATTAAAACCAGTCAGATTTTTGCTTGTTTGTTTTTGAGCCACACCCAGTTTTGTACAGGGCTTACTTACCTTACTGTGCACTCAGAGATCACTCCTGACAGACTTGGGGATCATATGGGATACCAGGGATTAAATCGGGGTAGACTTCATGCAAGGCAAGCGTCCAGCTATTATTATGTGCCACACCCCCACCCTCATGACATTTTCTTTTCTTTTCCTTTTAAAAATAATTTTTTTTTTAAATTTTATGGAGCGACAGCACAGTGGGTAGGGCATTTGCCTTGCACGCAGCCAACATGGCCGACCCGAGTTCGATTCCTCTGCCCCTCTCTGAGAGCCCAGCAAGCTATCAAGAGCATCTCACCTGCACGGCAAAGCCTGGCAAGCTACCCATGGCGTATTTGATATGCCAAACACAGTAACAGCAAGTCTCACCATGGAGACGTTACTGAGGTCGCTCGAGAAAATCGATGAACAACGGGAGGGTAATGATAGTGATTTTCATAAAGTTGTTCACAATAATTGATTACATTTAATATGTCAACACCAGTCCCACCAGCATTGCACCTTCCCACCACTATTATGATTTTGTGTTGGTTGTTATGAATGGTATCAGATGTATGTAAGGGTCTAGCTCACAGTGATTCAAACAAAAAAGTAAAAAAACAAAAATAGTATGCTCTTGCGGCTGTGTGCTCCAGGAATTCTAAAATTTTAAATAATTGGGGTCTGGAGACATCTCTGGGGTGAGCTTTCCTTTTCTGGGATTCATTTGTGAGTCTCTGGATCATATTGCTAAATCTGCTTAAATGGCACCTGGAGGCATGGGTGTGACAGCCAGGACCCTGGAACGACAGGGAGATGGGAATGGGCGGCCCAGTCCTGACCCCGTGAAGCCTGGAGTTTTCAGTCACTGGATCCGCATACCTGGGTTTTTCAGCAGATTCATTCTCTTGCATGGAGGGGCTCAGGACAAACCTGTGAAGGTCACCCATGAGGGTGGCGGTAATTGGGTCTGGAGGCTTGTTGCCACCGGGTTTTACTTGTAGAGGCGGAGAAACAATGCCTGCATCCGTCTGAGGCGCCCCGGTGAAATCAGCCTGGAGCAAGGTCCGGAGACATCTGTGGAGCGAGCTGCTCTGTTCTGAGATTCTTTTGTGAGTCAGTGACATTTTCTTAAGCCTGAGCCTAATGAGAAGGAAAGCTGTACTTCTCTTTACTTCCGTGAAGACTGAGAAGATCTGATGAAGTTGCAAAAGCCAATTTGGAAGCTGGCAGATACTGGTTCATGCAGGTTAAGGAAATACATCATCTTCCTAATATCAAAGTTCAAAATGAATATCTACACCTTGGATAGAAAAATTGCAACAAGTTCTCTGTTAGATCCAGCTAAGACCATTAGTAAAGGTGGCTACATTTTCCAACAGATTTTCAGTGCAGACACAGTAGTTTTCTGTTGGAAGGTGCTAACTATAGCACTCTCATTCCTGTAGAGATGTCAGTGTCTGCTTCAAAGCTTCAGAGGACAAGTTGGTGATCTTAAGATCTAAATCACCAGCTGCTGACTTGAAGTTGACCCCAATGCTGATTTATATTCTGAAAATCCTCGTTCTTCAGAATGATGCCACATCTAACTCAATATGTGCTCTATAGGGAACAACAATGCCCTGATGACAGCACTTTTGTGTATAACATTTTGGGGGCTTTGAAAAAAAAATTTTTTTTTCTGCTGCACCCAGTGACATTCAAGGACTATTCCTGACACTTTGCTCAGGAGTGACACCTGGTGGTGCTCAGGAATCAATATGTGGTAGTTGGGATTGAACCAAGGTTTTAGCTGCTGCAGCTGCAGGGAATTCCTCTGCCTTGCCTCCTGTATTGAATCTCCAGCCCCTAGAGGAGCTTCAGTAAATCCCACTCTGGAGATCAGCTCAAAAATAAATGATTCCTTTAAATATTACTACTTACTAACAACACACCACAATATCCAAGAGCTCTAGGGGGAAAAATTTTTTTTTTTTTTTGGTGTGTGTGTGTGTGTGTGGGTGGAAGTAGCATTTCTATAACCACTGGTAGTATTAAAGCTTACTTTGGGCTTTTAGCTCAGGGTCCTCTCCTGCTGTTGCTTGGAGACCATATGTAGTGCAAAGAGTAGAACTGGGATCAGCTACACTCAAGGCAAGAGCCTTACCCCATGTAGGTCTCTCTGACCAATAGTTGTTTTTATTCCTGCTAACATAGCATCCATATATGGATCAAGGAATCATTTTTAAAGTTTCAAGTCTTTTTATTATTAGATAGTACAGCTAGTAAGGCGTTTGCCTTGCACTTGGCCGACCCGGGTTTGATTCCTCTGCCCCTCTCTGAGAGCCCGGCAAGGTACCGAGAGTATTTTGCCCACACTGCAAAGCTTGGCAAACTCCCTGTGACGTATTCAATATGCCAAAAACAGAAACAACAAATCTCACAATTTGTTGTGAATGTTACTGGTGCCCGCTCGAGAAAATCGATGAACAACAGGATGGCAGTGCTACAATGCTTATTTTGTTTTTAAATAAATCTGTTTTATAATAGCTTCCATGCATAGTGATGCCTCTGATGGGTCTGGACAAACTCAATTGAACATCATTTGGAATGAACGTTGCTCCACCCCACATGTCACGTCATTAAAGATATTGTGGATTCACGGGAAGAGGTCAAAATGTCAACATTAACAGCTTTGGGCAAAGACATAGACTCGGTGGAAGGGGTAACTGCAGATGTGGTAAAGCTAGAAAGATAATTACAGTTGTAAGAAGTATCTTGAGATGAGACCAAACTGCTGAAGTGTCATGATAAAAATTTAACAAATGTGAAGTTGCTTATGAATGAGCAAAACATCTATCTATATTTCTCCTTTACTCTGAATGAAGATGATATAAATATTGTCGAAATAGCTATGTTGAATTTATGATATTAAATAAAATTAAGTGATAAAGCAAGGCTGAGAGGACTATATAAAGTATTGAAAGAATTTCTACTGCAGGGAATAGTAAAATGCTGTCAAACAGCACCCGATGCTGCATAGAAGTCCTTTATGGAAGGAGGTGTCAGTTGATCCAGTAAAGTCCTTTCTAGTCCTCTTTTAGAAAATTGCCATAATAAATCCCACCTTTCACAACCACCACCTGATCAGTTTGAAACCCTCAGCATTGAGGCAAAAGACTCTCCATTAGCAAAAAGATAGACTCTAATGGTGGTTAGCTTTTTGTTTTAAAAATAAGTTTTTTTTAACTAATTATTATTTAAGTATTTTTGTTCGCAAAAGTACTTTTTTTGCATACTTAATAGTTTGCAGTATAATGTACACAAATATACTGGAAAACTAAAAGATAAATATGACTTGTTTCATTGTAGTATTTCCTCTGTTTCTATTATCTGGAATTTAAACTATATGTAAATTAGAGTCTAAATTCACAAAATCGCTAAGTTGTCCCCATTTTCAAGTTCTTCAGTC